CAGAAAAAAAAAATATTATTTATGTCTCATTTCATTTCAAAATAAAAAATGAATTATTGGGCTTTTTGCTGGGTGTAATCTTACTAGCCTCATTTTATTTTATATATAGAAATAAAAGTTTCTTTCAGTCCCTGACCAATTAACTTGTGCATATATCTTGCAATGTTGAAATTTCCAATGGGCTACAGCGGATTTAATCCTTTTAGCCTCTAGATTTGTGAGGTTAATTCGAAATTTATAATTTTGTATGTAGTTCTTTATAAATCATAAAATTACTGCAATTTAAAAATGGGTAAAATTGTATTTAACCCACTTTGACTTCCACTATTTTGCAAAAAACCCCTCTTTACTATTTTTTTGCCAACAATACCCTCACCAACGAAGTCAAGGGTGATTTTATGCAATTTACCCAATTCGTGTGAATTTAGCTATTCGTTTTTTCTTTCTTAAATAATAATATTTGAACTTACATTTTCCGTTGCATGCATTACCATACTTTTCATAAAAAAATAAAAAATAAAAATAAAAAGTAAAATTCATAGCTGTAAGTGGAACTACATGCTATTTCTTTACCATAAGTCTAAATATGAATAATATAATAATAGTATATAATATATAGAATATGAGTAACCATATAAGATTTGAACTTATATGTAGTGGCACTCATAATTATAAATTTTATTTATTTTTATTTTTTTATGCTTTTCTTTAATTAAAAATATGGTGATACATTTAACAAAAATAAGTTGATATATTATTATTTGAGAAAGAAAAAAAATAGCTAAATTCATCTAATTGGGCAAATTGTATAAAATACCCCTTGATTAGTATATAGGATATAGAATACGAGTAAGCATATAAGATTTGAACTTATATGTAATGGCACTCATAACTATAAATTTTACTTTTTTAGTTTTTTTTTTTATATTTTTCTTCAATTAAAAATATGATGATGCATTTAACAAAAATATATAAGTTGATATATTATTATTCAAGAAAGAAAAAAAAAAAATAGCTAAATTCATCCAATTGGGCAAATTGTATAAAATCTCCCTTGACTTGGGTAGTGTTTGGGGAAGCTTTCCAACACTAAAAGTCCTTTGTTTGAAATGCCTTTCTTAAAGGAATTTTATCAAAAGGAATTCAGTAATGAAAAGATGTTTGGTGAATGAATTTTTAAAAATTCTTGAGATAATTAGAACAGTTTTTAATTGCCAACATTAACCATGACCTATATATGTTCCCTATATTCAAGTAAAATAATCCAATTAAAATATAATAAAAATAGTTGTATGTAATTGAATGGCAACAGTTGACTGCACAGTGGGTTTCATATATGTGTGTGTGTGTATATATATATATATATATATATCATTCCTCAGTACACATCACAATTCCAAAGCATTTCACCCTTTTAGAAGGGCATGCGACCAAATTCGCTTAGCGTAGACAATCTTCTATACCAGTTGAAGAAAAAGGAGTTTTATAAAATCCTCCACAAATACAAACACTCCGTAGATATTTGTGAACTTATAATAATAATAATATAATCTATTATATTGAAAAGTAATGATACTTGTACTGATCACTTAGGCAAAATTGTTAGGCCTATTATATATGATTGGTTATTAATACATTAAATAAGAAAGTGGAGAGTTCCATTTTTTATATTTGATATGCATTGACCAATCAAATATAGTAGGTCTAACAATTCTGCCCAAGTGATCGGTGCAAATATTATTACTTTATATTGAAAATGGCACAGGAATTCTATTCACATATTTGTATTTCATCTCTGAGCAGGCATCCATGGTTTAGGAGAGAAACATGAAAGAGAAACTTGATTTGTAATTAAATTAAGAAATAAAGTTATTATTGATAAAATACACAGGAACAAAATAGGAAGTTTTGTGTTTGTTACTAGTTAAAATGGATCTTGCATCCCGAGAAGTTGTTGGAAAAGTAAGTTTTACTATATGTCACTAAACGGGCTTTTAAGCGGTTGGGTTTTTCGAAGCCGGTTTCAATATCTTCACCAAACACACAAATTTTTTAGGAAAGGACTTTTTGGGCCTAAAAGCCCATTTTGAGTTGCCAAGAAGCCCATTCAAACAGGGCCTTAGTTAGTGGGAGCATTTTTGGCAAAACTTCAAAAAGCAATCCTCATCGGTTAGTTTGGGACCCGGGGGGGTGGGGGGAGGTTTATTACAAAACGATAAAAGTTAAAGGAGGTTAAATGCAGTTTACCCTTTAAAAATTAAGGTTAATAAAATTTGGGTGATACTTATAATTCATCTAGATGTCACTCCATAATCAAGGAATCAAGCCTATTAGGCACACATTTGTGTACTGTATTTTACGTACAAAAAAAATCAAAATTGTAATATTACACAACACCATTAAATAAAAAATGCAATGAGAAAAATATGTTGCATTGTTGCAACTCAATACAATATATTCCATGAATTATGCATTCTCAAAGTAAATGTGTAGTACACGTGCCTATATATGTTTTATTTGGACATTGCATTATCGATATGGTTTGCTGCATTATCGATTTAAAATCATCCATTGCGTGAGAGAGAATCATAATTATTCTTCAAATTATACATATATGTATTGTCTGGTTTCTTCAATTAACTTTTCTCGAGTAGATTGGATTAGTTTATTCTAGCTTTCCTAAGTTTTTCATATCTTAATAAATGAAAATACTTCGTCTCCTACCCCATCAAAAGGAATTCTTTGCTAATAGGCGATGTAGCACCATAAAACTTTGACACCTATCCAAAATATTGAAATATTAACAAATACTTAAAATAAATTAAACCTAAAACTTAAAATGAATCAGACCGGGTTAACCCGATGAACCTATACATATATATATGGTGTATGTATATGTGTAATACAGAGAGTTCGTATCCTAAACAAGACGATACAAAAATATGAGGGCTACCATGAAACTAGAGTAATCAATCGAAGACAATTATTGTTTCACCGTCGACGGTTGTTGTGGATTGTTCATCGCCGACGACGATGAAGATTAGGATTTCAAATGTAGGTTGATGAAAAGGAACTATGGAGATTTGTTGTGGATAGATAGAGAGCGCTTAGATAGAGAGAGAACAAATTGATTTTAATTTGCATACAGATGGAGAGTTTCAATCCCTTATTTCAACTTCGTATGATTGAATCTAAAACCAACATTTTTCATGCATTTTCAGCGATTTTGAAGTCATGATCTTCCAACATAGGCTCAAAACCTCAATCGATCGCGTGATGCAGTGATTTAATTTTGGTTGACTTTAGAACATATTTTGGATTTGTCTGTCGGAAAATGGATGGTCTGGATGGAGGCAATGGAGAGGTTGATGAAGCTCCGCCGGGAGAGAAAACGAAAATATGTCTGGTTAACCCATAAAATGATGGGTTTTATCTATTTTATTTTTCTTTTAACTTTTAGACATATATCTTAATTTTGTTTGTACTCATTACTTGCATAATGAAATTCATTTTAGGAGGCAAGTATTATCCTTTATATAAATAAGGATGGTCGCAAACTAATATACACTTTTGTGATAAAAGTAAGGGCTAATTTCATAAAATTCCTTCTGCTTTCAAATTTTGATCATAAACTCCCAACCTATTTCAGAAAACTCTATATATTTTAAATTTTGATCACATTGTCCCAATATTAATGTCTAACCCATTAATAATAACAAATTTGACCTTACTATTTAATATTAAATTAAAAACTAAAAATTATTTTTTTAAAATTACAAAAATACCTTCTTTTTTTCTCCAAGAAGAGTTGGCCAATCACTGCCAGAGTCTTTACTCCAGCGCGTAGTCGCCGGTCTGAACAGAAAACCGGTTGCTGTACAAGGCAGCCACCTGGAACCATGAATCAAACCGAAATAGGTCGCCGGCAGCGACGTTTGTCGCTGCTACCAGCGACCTGGATTTCTCCACTAACAGAAACCATCGCTGTCCTGCTCCCAAATCTTCGTGTTCCCATAACTACTTATACGCGTATCACCATCTCTCTCTACCTCTGTTTCATTCACTCATCGTATTGTTCATTCATTCACAAATCACAGACAAAATTCAAAATAAATAATTATGGGGTTAGCGAAATCTCTTCAGTCGCAAGAAAAAACGTAGTAATTCTTCATTGTCGATCACGAGCGCTCTCTACCTATCCTCTCGATCGCCATCGATGGCGTCGAACTCCATCTCTCATGCCTAGATTGAGGAAGAGCTGACCCAAGTGTTCAAGAAATTCAACGTGAACAACGACGACAAGATTTCATCGTCGGAGCTCGGCGCAATAATGGACGACACCACCGTGGAGGAGCTGGACATGATGATCTGAGAGGTGGACGCCGACGGCTCCGCATGGTTTCGTCATGGGTCGGTCCTGGTCTGCTCATGACCAAATCGAGTCCTCGTCCTCACTGACCTCGTGGCTCTGTATTTCTCGGGTCGGTCCTGGTCGGCTCACCCGTCAAATCAAATTACCTCTTTTGAGTGTTGGTTTCATTACTCTGGAAGATGCATTTTTGAGTGTCAGTTTCATTACTGTCTGATTTGAGAGAGAGAGAGGGGGGGGGGGGGGAGGGGGGCATAGCAAAATCACAAAATTATCAAATAGCATAATATTTTTGATCTAATTTAATAACAATACTGATTTAAAGTAGAAAAAAGAATTACCTATGTGTGCTGTGAGATATCGATTGAATTTTGAGACATGCCAAATCAATCATACTTCATAGACTCTAAGCACTTCGTGAACCCTGACAACCAAAGCAAATAAGATTTTATTTAATTATTTATATCTTAAATTAACAAGGAAACAAGATTTTTTCAGTAATGTGAATAAAAATTTAAATAAAAGAATTCATTGTTCAAGTGAAAAGAACAAATTAATATAAAAACCAGGAGTTTATTTGACAAATATAAAAACCAAAATATAGATTTTGATAATATTTTCATTGAATGCATTACAACTGTCTTCGGCGGGATTTCATTTTTTGAAAGCGCTGCATGATAGCCTCATTATCTATGCTCCTAAATATATCTTTTTCAACATATACAACCAAGCTATCATTCATAAATTGATCTCCCATCTGATTACGCAATTCATTCTTTACAATATTCATAACAGAAATTGCCCTTTTCACCGTGGTAGTCGCAACTGGTAAGATCAACGCCAATGTCACAAGCAAATACACCAATGGATACACCTTGTCCTTTTTTACCTCCACCATTTTTTTTGCAAGAGTAGAAATCCCTTTCAATCCTTCAAAACTACTATTAGAGCGCACATCAAGAATATAAGTCTCAAGTTGACTATGAAGTTCTTTGAGCTTGACTGTAGAAAATTATTTGGGATAATATTTAGCAAAATGAATTATCTTTTGCTTGTCAAAAGTAAAGAGTGAATCATTTGGACATAAATATGCCATACAAAGAAGTAACTCGGTATTAGTCTCACTAAAACGACTGTTTAACTCTTGAAGTTGCATATCTATCATAGAATAAGACAACTCAACACGATAGTGATGCAAGTTTGTCATTTCTTTCACATTCCGTCGTCGTCGACCTTGAGCAAAGAAAATGTCATCCATGTTGGGAACATCAATCCCATGTCTCTCACAAAATGAAGAAACTTCTTCGAGTAAAGAATTCCATCCATCATCCCTCATCATTTGTAGTCGTTGCTTACATAATTTGACTAAACACATAACATTCATGATATCTTGATCTTTTCTTTGTAGTGCTTTTGATAATTCATTTGTCACTTCCAATACTGCCTTCATCAAATGGAGACTGAATACAAAATTAAAGGATTATATTGTCCCAAGTAGAATCGTTGTTTCACCTCTTTGATCAAATCTAAATCCATCCGTTTCGATAATCTCAAGAACATCAATAACAGATGAGAACATTGTAGTTAAGCTCATTAAAGTACCATAATATGAGCCCCAACGAGTGTCTCCTGCACGTATAAAAGAAGTACTCTGATTTAAGCCCTACCCACTTGAAAGTTTACCATTGTTAAGTCCTTCAATAACTTTTGCAATTTGTTTCTCTCGAAAGCATATCGGGACATTTACATGAGGCTCCAACTACATTCACCACATTAGCAGCAAATAAGAAAAAAGTGGAAATCTGACCATGATTCTTTGCCACAGCAACAAGAGCCAACTGAAGTTGGTGAGCAATATAATGAACAAAAAAGGCAAATTCATTCTCTTTTAGAATAAGTGTTTTGAGACCGTTGAATTCACCTTGCATATTGCTAGCCCCATCATAACCTTGCCCATGCAAACTAGAAATGCTCAATCCTTGTGTAAAAAATACATTATCAATCGCTACCTTAAGTGAGAGAACAGTTGTATCTATAACATGTACCGTACCAATAAAACGCTCAATGATACTCCTATTCTTCACATAACGTAACACAATAGCCATTTGCTCCTTTATTGATACATCACAAGACTCATCAATTAAAATAGAGAAAAATGCATCTCCAATATCTCTAATAGTAAAATTGATTATCTCTGTTGCAATGGAATTAATAATTTCTTTTTGAATCTCGGGTGATGTTAATTTCATATTTGCAGGAGCATTTTCCAATACGACAGCTTTAACATCCTTATTGTGATGAGCATGAAATCTCAAAAGTGTAAGAAAGTTCCCTTGATTGTTTGAATCATCAGCTTCATCGTGGCCACAAAATGCAAGTCCTTGCTGTAAAAGATATCGGACACAATCAACTGATGCAGTCAAACGAGTTCGATATTCAATTCTAGCTTGATCTGACTGCTTGAAAAAAATTGTTTGAATGTGTTGCTTTTGGTTCACCAAAGCTTCATAAGATCTATAAGCTTGGTTGTAGGCACCATTGGGACCTCCAACATAAACTTTGAGTTTTTCCTTCTTCTTCCAATTTGAAAACCCCTCACCCACAAAAAAGTCATCTCCTGATTGTTTTCCAATATCTGGCTTGAAAAGGAACCAGCATAGGCAAAATACTGCATCTTTAGCTATGCTATATTCTAGCCAATTAGAATATTCGCTAAACCAAGCAGGGTTGAAATGACGTAACTTTCCCGAAATTCCTATAAGGAAATTTATGAGTCTTAGGCTGACAAGGGCCTTTTAGATAATATGCTCTACAAAGTTCGTCTCGAATATTAGGATGGTAATCCATGATTCGAGCCCGTAGTCCTGGATCTGCTTGAAGATCCTCCAAGTTAATGTCAAAACGGCTTTGCTTTAAACTATCATCATTTCTCTCTATAGAAGAGTTGACATCATTTCTCTTTATAGAAGATGTCAACTTTGACTTTCTTTTACAGAATTGATCAATTTTTTTCTGCATAACTGTTTAAAAAATAAATAGATTATTTTGGGGGAAAAAAAAAGAAATTTATGATTGTAAATTACAATTACTCACTCTATCTATCATATTAATTATTAAGTATAGATGTTCCAAAATGTAAATTATATTTCTTTTAAAATTTTAGAGAACTCAATTATAATATGTGGGATCTCAAGCATTTTGTCGTTACAGTTATCAAGTAGCATGAGGGAATTATATATGCAAAACTGCAATATAACAAATGTGCCCAGCGAAATTGGTAGTTTGGTGTCCTTGGAACTCAATTCTTGGATCTCAGCAACAACAAATTTTCTAACTTGCCAGTGACCATCACTAGCCTTTGGATAGTATTCAGTATATATAACACAGCGAAATGTTCAAATACATAATCTCTATCTTTGGATAGTATTCAATATTCACAGAAATTACAGAATCACACACACATACTTCTTTCTCTACAGACTATACACACTAACACACATGAGTTTAAATATATAATATACATAATACATTTATGAGTTTCTCAAGTGAATTCTTGAACTTTATTTCTTATTACTTTACTGGCTTTAATTCTTGATTAATTCACAATAAAATGTTTCCTGCAAAAATTTAAAGTTCAAGGATGGCTGTAGCTAGTGGAGGAATATATTTGGAAAATTAGAGCAAACGCCCACATGGGTTGTTGATGTTGTTTGTTTTGTTTTAATTGCGATTTTAAATTTTCAATTGTCATCGAACACATCATGCATCTGGTATGAACCATTTCAAGATCAATATGTCACATATAATATTATCATGTTATATAAAATCAACATAAATTTGCTTATAAATAATAAATTTTGTTATATATATTCACAATTCAAGTAAGTTCAAAACTCCCTTGTAAAAAAATAAAATAAAATAAAATAAAAAACAAGTTTTACCTGGGGAATCAATGATAGACTGATAGCAAAGCAAGGCTAATTCTCTTTTGATTTTGTTGATGGAGACTGGAGTTTAGAAGAATCCAAGAAGCAAAAGTGGTCTAGTGGATGTAAAGTGGAAAATATTGCTCTGCCTTTCCACTTTCCCGAAACAAAAAGAACGGCTTAGGTTATGCCGATTCCTTATCTTTCAATATTTTATAAGTTGAATGACTGAATCACCCCTCAATATGTGAACAATTTTTTTTTTAGGCTGGGGGGGGGGGGGATTTGAAAATTTTATAAAATTTATATATAATAATAATTAAAAAAAAAAATTTCAAGGAGCGCATGCGCCCCCCCGGGCACTAGGGCCCTTTGCTCCTGGGGGGGTGGGGGAGAGTGTGTGTGAAGAGGAAGAAGAAGATGGGCATTTTCATAATTTCACAATAATGAATATAAGTTTTTAATTTAATATTAAATCATAAGGTTAATTTTGTTATTTCACAACCTAATAAACGAGTCGGTCATGGGTATGTGGTAATTTGATAGTATTTCTTTAGTTAAGGGAGTGTTTAATTTTAGTGGGTTTTTTTGGACGAAAATGGTAATAGAGGGAGTTATGTGATTTTTCCCATAATTAAAATGAATATGTAATGTCTGTTTATGTATTGGATTTATTGGGTGGTGTTGAAGCCAAATTAAGGTGATACTTTAATGGATTATCCATGGTCTATTTTAGAGAGAGGGGGAGGTGAGAGTTTTAGAGAGAGAGCGGCGGGGGGGGGGGGGGGGGGGGGGGGGCGCGTGAAGAAAAGGCATTAAAAATTGTTTTTGTAGTTTTAAAAAAATATTTTTTAGTTAGTTTGAAATTTAACATTAAATAGTAAGGTTAAATTTTTCATTTTACAGCTCGATTAATGGGTCGAATACGAATATTGGAGCAATGTGATCACTTTTTATAGTGTTGGGGTTTTCTGAAACAGGTTAGGGGTTTATGATCAAAATTTGAAAGTACTAGGGTTTTTTTTGAAATTAACCTGAAAAATAATAAAGACTACAAAAATAAATAAAGTTACTCCATCCGTCTTAAAATAGGTGTCCACATTTTTATTTTTATCATCCTTCATTTGAAAAGTCAATGTACAATTTTTTGTAATATTACCAATTTAACCTTCTTGCATTAAACTTATACAAAGTAAAACATCACATCGTTGTGGATCCACGGAGGGTAAAAAAAAAAATTAATAAATAAAAAAAATAAAAAATAAAAAAATCATGCTCTTAAAAAGTTAGATTTCCAAAAAGGGACATTTATTTTGGAATAGAGTGAGTATCCAACAATAAAGTCTGGAAAGATCATGTTCGTTGCTCCAACAAAATTTTAATTCTTTTTTAGTCTTATTAATAATTGTATCTTGTAAAGGATGATAGATACATTATTTGTGCCCAAATTTGTGAAGAGTTGGTATAACAACCCCCACCCTACCCAACAGAATATTGTTCCCGGGAGGCCATCCACGCTTAACTACAAAGTTCTGATGGGTTCACGGCCATCACAGCTTTAAAATGTATTGTGTCATAAAAGAATGTTGAACCTATATATAGCACTTCGCTTTCACCTTCTCCAAGCGATGTGGGATCATGACACCCATTGCCTACCAATGTGGTAGCTCACCCAGTATCTCGCACCCGCCCACACATACCCACCCCAATGGGGCCCAACGTGCTCATTAGCTGCACCCCCCACAGAGGTGGTTACAATCACCCCCTCATGCAACCTAACATCCTCATTAGTCACACTTTCGGCTAGGTTCTGGCTCTGATGCCATTTGTAACAACCCCTACCCTACCCGATATAATATTGTCTTTGGCTTCCGCGGACCATACCGACACAATATTGTACACTTTTGACTCCCTTGAATGTCATAGAAGGGTGTTAAACGTTCTACATATATCATTTCACCTTCATATTCCCCCAAGCGATGTGGGATCATGACACCCATAGCCTACCAATGTGGTAACTCGCTCAATGTCTTACACCCGCCCACAGAGATTATCACAGTCAGAGGGGATCATAAATGAGAAATTTTTAGATGATCCCGAAACACTATTAGTTCCATTGATCATAAACAAAAAGTTAAATAAAACTTAATACAATTATTTACTCGAAACCATGTAATTACTTCTCCTAGATGATCAGAGGAAGTTGATAAATACTGAGTTTGATACCAGAGATTCTGACCTTAAAACCATTTCATTTTCATGGATGATAATTATAGAAGGTCAACCTTCTAAAAACATGTGCACGAGTGCTTCGAAATAATATTTTTCTCTCTAGACTATACTACGTAAATGTATATAGATTTTTTTATTTATTATGTAAATTATTTTATAAATTTGCTAATCAATAACATGTTTTTATTTTTAAGAAAGATGTTGGATAGTCAAATTTTGAAGGAAAAAATGAAAAAAACAAAAAGATGTTGGATAGAAGGAATAAGTATTGGGTGCAACATGCATACCACTTTATTGATATGCTCAGTGACGGACAAGGAATTTTTTTTTTTTTTTTTTTTTTGAGAGGGGTGCCGTTGAAGAATAAAAAAATAAGAAAAATATTTTTAAAATAAAATAAAATAAAAATATACGAATTTAAATTTTTTGTTGCTTGTCCAACATGCGTCAGGCCGTGTTTAACATGTGTTGATGTGAGACCTAAATTCTATGACCTTATAGTTATATCCGTGCTTCTTAGATTATTATAGATGTGGGGCAGTAGAGAATGAAGAAACAAGAGATTGAGCTGATTTTGGACTAAAAATACAAGAATGTATAGTGGGTGTTCTCAAAAATTGGGTAAGAATATGAGAGTGTGTGAGAGATAGTTGATTATGAATGTCGGGGCAGTAGAGATTGAAAAAGAAAGACAATTATCTATTGAATCCAAAAAAATTAGTGGGGAATATGAGTGTGGTATTTTTGAAATTTTAACAAAAGATATAGGTAAAAATATGTAGGGTAAAGTACAAAGACACCCCCTGAGATTTGGGGTAAGGCCAGACAGAGGAAAGTTTGTCCATTTTTGGACAATGACACCACCCTCAAGAAATTTATCATACAAATACAAATAAAGCCTTAAATCATATGAAAAGTCCACTTTACCTTTCATTATTTCATTAGTTTATTATTACCCTTTTTCATCACTCTCTCTCTATAGATATATTTAGATATATACATACAAACAACCCCCAACCTCCATAGTCACCGCCACCCCCACCCCCAACTCCCAACCTCCATAATTGCCACCCCCAACCTCCATAATCACCGCCCACTAAAGAAGACGCCGAAGAGGAGCTCTGCCACCGCCATCTCCTCGACCTCGCTAGAGCTCGACCTCAGACAATTAGCGCCACCCCCACTGTCGCAGATTACTGATGAGGTGATGGCGGCTGCGCCGTCACAATCACAGTCGTAGAATATACCACCGCAGCAGTAACAACATCAACCGCTGGCGTACAATATCAACAAGAGTGACTTTAGATCAGAAACGCACAGGCTCTCTAGCTCACGGGGGGTTCTCAACGCCGCCGCCGCCTATCCAACCGCTGAAGCTTTCGAGCTCCCGTCTCTAGCGCATACGCCCTCCACCCTTCGCGCACGTTGGCAACCGTCCTCTTCCCCTGCTAAAAAATGCTGGCATAAACCCTAACAACCCAGGTGGTGGCAGCTTAATTCACAATCAACGGTAGCCTCTTGCTCTGATCCCAATCCCAAACGATTGATACCGTTCTCGCCTAGGTGGAGCTATCTTGCTCCGCCTCAGCCACCTCAACATCAGCAGCAATAGCTTCCTTGGCCGCACCTGACACCATTCTGTGTGTATATATATATATATACATACATACATACAGAAAGAAAGGGTTTGGGTTTGGGTCAGAGATGGGTGTGAGAACAGAGGAGAGAAGGAAATAAGTTATGGGTATAAGGTTAAAAAGGTCATTTCAATATTCAAATTGGTCAATATGAAAGTCAAAGGGTAAAAATGTCAATTTATTACCATTAGAGTGTCTTTGGTAGCTATATCAAACTTGAGGG